CAAAAAGTAATCAGTTGTTTTAAGCCAGCAATAATTTTGGTTTAGACTGGAACAGGATGAAACGCTTCACTTCCGTGACATTTGTCATTTATGATAAATTTACTTGCTTCTCTGAGCTCTAAGCTAAGTTCCTCTTCCTCAGTCACATTTTTACCTTCAAATTAGACATTTTGTATCAGTCCGTGTCCCTAATTTCATTGTTAAGCGGGACACATACGGCCCACTTTGATCTTAAGTGGGCCGGCCCACCAGAGCCAAATCTTCAGGGCTGAAGATTTGGCTCCCACATAATAACAGGCATATGAAATTATCTCACGGGCCGGGTATAACTGTATCACGGGTCAAATGTGACCTGTCGGCCGTAAGTTTGGCACCCCTGCGTACCTTTCCTGGTTCATCAAAGTTTTTGTTACACCAGTTACTGCCAGTAAATTCAGGGAAGTCTGACTCAGTGAACTGGGTGGTGCAATTTCAGATCCCTGTTAAGCCCTTCTGTCAATTCCAGGTACAGGTTAATACAATTTAAAGTTTTGTATAGGTTTCATAACAGATTTCTGCCTCTGTCTCCTCTGTGTGTGGTAAATGTTGTATTGCACAGTCACGCGTGTTGTAGTCTTGGCCAGGACATATTTGATTGTTTCCCCAAACAGTGCGACTCGCCCGTTCACCTGGACTGTAACCAGGCCAAAATTGACTGCTCGGACGAGACTGTGTCTTTCTCGTCCCCTCAGAGGCGAGCTCCAAGGTCGGGCACAATCGCTGCAAAAGCACTGATTCTATTCGAATGGAAATCAGCATCACACCCCGTTTTAAGAGGTCACGTAATGAGCTGCTGCTTGTGGCTAAACTTGAATGGACTTGGTGCGATAAAGGCACCAAAGGTATATTCTTTTATCTGGATACTGCCAAACATCCAGTGCTGTTCTGCTACAGTAACAGTCACAGGTTTGTACACACCCATCAGGATAAAGCTGGTGCTGGTAGGATACTACATTCCCCTTCATGAGAAAATGTTGATCAGTCATGTTTAATTGGCATCATGGGAAAGAATCAGTCTTGACTTGTGTAAATACCTTAAAGTTTCAGCAAACTCAGAAACCAGCACGCTCAGCACCTTGCTCACACCTGTAACACAACAAGAAAGCAAGTCCATGTTAGGTGTGCTGCAAATGTCTTTGCTTAGCTGTCATTTCACCATTTTTTCAGTATGTTTTTAATGTGGATACGTATATAAATACAAGCAGGTATCGTTGCAGAAATTTAAAATCAGGCTGCATGACTAATGGAACAACTGCACTAAGACACGTATCTGCTGACATCATTTCAGAGCAGCAAAAAGATGCGAGCTGTTATCATTTAATATCGAGAGTCTTACTACTTCCACTGAAAGGTCAATAAATTATATCCTGTTTTTTCACACAATCACATCCTGTTTATGAAGCAGCCTCACTCTAATTTCCTGTGAAGTGTGTTTGCTTTTGTTTCCACTAAAGTAACCAAAAAGTTACCATACACAACGCTACACCGTTCACACTTTTGCATAACTGGCATACCTGCAGCTATAGTCTCAAATGGATTGGCTGACTCCAAAGAGGGGGCCTTCTTTTTCTTTTTCTGTGGAGAGTTCTCTTCATTTACATTTGCACATTCCATCTGTTGCAATGAGGGAAAAAAACTGATGACACTAAAATGTTTTCATGCATTCAAACATCAACCTAG